GAATTTTCTTTAAGTTTTGCGTTAAGCAACAAACCGCAGAACCAGCTCAGAAGCCCCCATGCTTCAACATCCCTAACTTATCGAAATTTGCAGCTCGGAAGCAAATGCTTTTTACCTTCTGATCTCGGAACAGTTCAGAAGAGAAAAAGCTATCCTCCCTTTCGAAGCTTTTGAAAAAAGTTACGCTTCCACTTCAATATGCTGCTCACAACATTTGCCTACCTTCAATCCTCCTATGTAGCGTTGGTGCGGCGATCACCTTGGTGCCAAAACCTCGACGATGGCAAACTATTCTTTGAAATTGTGGCTCACTGGTCGTTAGATCCGTTCTGTCTGCTACGTATCATGTGCTGGTCCTAGTTGATGGTAATCTCTTGATGAGAAGGGACAGAGAAATGTACAGCCGGAGATGGAGCGAGCAGAGAGCAGACTGATGATGTGATCTGCAGCGTATCTAACAATCGGAATGAAGTAACTTCTCGATGTTAACCCTGAAGAAGTGAGAACGCAGAGAACGCAAAGAGCGTGCCAGACTGACAAAAGGCAAGGTGATCTGCAAAAAATTGTCTGATGCTGTTTTCGAACCTATGTTTTTGATTACAGGTGGAAAACATCCCCATACCCACTAAACCACATGAACCACATTGCTAGTCACATACGACCACATCATTCCACCACTGTTCAGAATGCTCTTCATTTGTGCGGACATAGAGCAAATACATACTTGTTAAAACCAATTCTCAGCCAGCCTCTTGGCAGCCTTAAACTTTTTGATGACACCAAAAACCCTACTCACAGGAGGAATAGAACCCTTAATCAGTGGTTGGNTTGGAAAGTTCCAGTTCCATCCACTATACCACAAGTGCCACCGTGAAGGGTTTATGAGATCTCAAAAGAAAATCACAGTTTTTTTTTGTTACAGGTTGATTGATCTTCAGGGTTGAAAGTTAGGTTTTGAAATTGACGAAATCTCTCTCAACCGCCCGCTAAACATACATATTCTTGTTGAGAACTTACAGTTCATGGTCTATTTTTTTTATAAAGTAACAATAATTCATTCAAATGGACGACAAAAAAGTAGACCAGTTTCAAAAAACCCGTACAAAATCACAAATGAAACATCAATGGAATGAGAAAGTGCACCACCGAACCTCTGAGTTCCTTTCCACAGTTTTTTCCCATGTGATGCACTCCCTCAGCTGAAGAAGCCTTCGTGAAATTCTGAGTGAGGGGCTAATGGGTACAAACAATAACTGATGGGTATTCAGATGAAAATGGCAGGATGTAAAAGTTCACAACATACTAGTATAAAAAAGGCTCAGGTATATGGTAAGGTGAATGATAGTACCGTTTAAATTTTGATAAATATCCACCATATCTGTTGGGTAGAGCAATGGTATGGATCGGTTCGGGTAGAAAATGGGTTTCATGTTCTTACGAGATCCACAACACCCCAAGGAACCGTACCGTACCCCAGAAAAAAGCTCATCTATTTCAAAAATTCTGAACATAACTGATCGATCCGCCACCAACCCACCAATTCAGCTTCATTTTACTAATCCGTAGCTGATTTGTGCAACCGTCTAGACAGTAATCTTCCTAGCTACAGGACGGGCAGTAGGAACGGTTTTTTGTAATCGATCCGCCGCACGCGGCTGTCGCGGACCATCTGTCTCGTTATAACGTTTCTAGCACTCTTCATACGACTCAATCGCTATGCGATTATTACCTATGGCATGATTCTACTGTTAGTTCTTTATTCCCTGGATTCCTTACTTGCTGCTGCAATCTGCTACATTCCTTCGCGCGCGGCGTCTCTCTCACCGCGACGCGACAATTTCGTTCCTACTGCACCACACCCACTAGTTAAGGAAGGCGTTTGTCAACGGTCCGCCGACTTGTGTAGTTAGGTCTGACCATGAGTGGCTGATCGATCAGTTATTTTCAGAATCCCAAGAGCAGAAAGAGCTTATTTAGGAGGTCTACTTAGTTCATACAGCCACAACTGAATCATAACACTGATTATTATTTGTACAAGTTAAGAATGGATTCATGAATCGCCTGTCGTTGTTGTTGTTAGAAATTGAAATTGAATCAAGGCTCGATTCGACAGTTACGCTGCTGCTCACTCCTTTCTGAAAATTTAAGTGAATGATTAATCAGCAAAATCGGTAATACCGACAAAAGTTTGAATGGGAGGGGTAAAGGTGTCGATTAAGAGGACGTTGAAGAGCATAGGATAGAATTTTTCAACGAAATAATTGGTATGGAAAGCTTTGGGCTAGTGCCAAGAAGCGCACAGCCGCCGTGTACGGTGAGGGAACGAAACCCAGCACCGATAACCCGCTTGGACCGCCCAGGCTTTCCATTTTTTCTGGTTCTTGTGAATTCTGTTGAGTTGGTGTCAGTAGTGAGCATATACGGTGGTGACGACGTACTCCCCTTTCATTGTTTTTATGGGAGCCATGATATCTACTGCAGTTCCGGGAAAGTAACAGCAACAAGTCAGGGAAGACAAAAGTGTCGATAAGTACATCGGTCGGTACCTTCAGGTCATCACGTAGATAACCTCAACTGGATACCAACTAAATACCTCAAACCTGTGAGTATTAGGCCGTTCAGCAAGTATCGGCCGAAGGTAGCGGTCCTGATTTTTTCTAGAATATTCCCGAAGATTCCATGGGAATGGTATATAGGGACATTACCCATTTGTATACGCAGAACATGTACGGTACCATCTTATTTCCTAGCTCAATGTTATAATGGCCAAACTGTCTCCCGATATTCGTACCCAAATCCAGCTACTCTGCTGCTGAAACCCATCGA